TCTTTATTGTAATTATAGTGTTATATGCAATTATTTAAATGTCAGCACATCATACAGTATACACCAAGCAAGGTGTATACACCCCTCGGTGTTATATACATTTAAGATTTATTTTAATTCCTAATTTATGGATGAAAGTGAGTTATTTATTACTTGTGCAGCCTTGCATAATCTTCCTTTACTTGATAATACAGCAAAATATGGTTTAATCTTATCCAATTTACCTAAGATTAGTCTAAATTTTGTTAACTTTAATTCAGTGAGTTTGTGAGAAAATAACAACTATGAATATAGCAAGTGGACACTGCTGGTCCGGAGTAGAAAAACGAGAGTTGTAAGTTATTTAAAAATGTTGAGTTTGATAGTTCATGTGCTGTGTTGATAAGAAAACTGAAACTAATAGAAAGAGGTCTGTATGTATTTGGCCTCGACCAGAGACCCTCTTCGGCACATTCACTGAAGAGGGGTCTCTGACCGAGGTTGAAATATACAGATCTCGTTTTTGCCTATGTTTCAGTGTTGTGGTCTCTTACTTTTCATGGATGATCATATTGTTAAGACTCACGTCATGTAAATTTCCCTGACAAATATATAACACCAGTACAAGTACTTGTTAATGTTTTGCTAACAGAAGCCGAAGAGTGTGATGTGTCCTGTGATCGACGTGATCGACCAGGATACCCTCGACTACCGTGCTGCTGGAACTGTACTCAAAGGAGGTCAGTATCAGTTCCTTGTATCAAGAGCCCTTTTGGTGAGTGATATTACATATTTATGCCCAGGCCACTGCAATGGAGTCCACAATGGGAATCACAATAATGGACCTGTATGCAGGTGGTAATAAGAGTCCTTCTACAATTATGTTTTTATCGACAAGGTTGAATATTGGTTCTTAATAAACCCTAAAATAGGTTAAGGAAAGTGACAACTTTAAATATAAACATTACTTAAAATATAGTTTATTACACTAGGGGTATGTGTAGTATCTAAATGCATTAGTGAACAAAGCCCAGCGTTCTCCCTCACAACTCAAATACTTAAACAACAAGTGTGTTTTTATAAGTTACAGTGGTTGAGTGAATACTTTATACACGTGGGGAAACATACTGTATGGTACTTATATATGCAATATACGTATAAGATAACACAATCCAAATAACTACGACACCTTAAATAAACTATCCAAAATAGATACAACGTTGTGCAACAGTGTTAACACCTTGACCAACGAAAGCAAACATGGAACAATTCAATTCAATTCAAGTTTATTCTCTATAAGTGTTACAATGTGGGGTTCACAGGTTTATGGGTTTTTTGGCGGGGTTTTAAACATGTTATAAAATACAAATTTAAACCGAGGGGGCCACTAGGACACCTACCCAAGGCCAGGTTTTTCCCGGGCAGACTTAGATTAATTTTTAAAACATTAAATCCTTACAAAATTAGGGTTTATTGGGGGGCTAAGTGACTACATAAAATTTTGTGGTTTAGCAATGTAAATCCCTTTTGGTTTTGGCATAATACAAAGTGTCTTTTTTTGGGGAGTATCTTGGGCAAACTTATGACTGGGTTAGGATTTTTTATTTTAAGATTAAGATTATATTTCTGGGTTTATAGTCAGTGATTTGAGTGAGTGAAATTTGGGGAAACCCCACCAGGGGTTATCTTGAAAGTTATTTTGTGGGGGGTTATCATGGAGTTTAAGATGTTTTCTATTGAAATTTTTGAAAGTGTTAAATATGTCTGCAGTTTAGATTTTTAAGGTGGGGGTTTTCCGTTTTTAGGCCCTTTTAAAAAACCCTTTTGTTTTTTTGAAAAGGTTTTTAGTCAAAAAACGGGGAATGTCATAGAGATGTTTGTGTTGGTGTTTTGCCTGTGGATCCTGTCACAACTATCAAAAAAAGCATTTTAGGTAAAAGGGGTAAATTTTATTGGAATTTAAGGTCCTGAAATTTATAGATTGCACGGTATTAAGTGGGGATGTTCTGAAGAGGGAGAAAGTTTAGATCTATGAAGAGTGGGGGGGGGGGTGCACCCAGGTTTTGGGTTTTTAGTATTATTCTTACTGCGCTTTTTTTTTTGGGGTTATTATTGGCTTTGGTGTGTTGCTGCATTAAAAACCCCAAGCACAGATAAAAGGGGTGGGTATTTATAATAAGTGAATGGTATAGTGTGAAAGGGCAGTTTGCGGCACGTAGTATCGTACCCTTGGGAAGAGGATCCCCACCTTTTTGGGATACTTTTTTTTATGTTTTTGGTTTTGGGTCTGGGAAAATTTTGGTTGTTGTCGGGTAAGGAAAGGGCCAAAGGAAATTTTCCCCCATTAAGTCTGGCAAAATTTGGGGTGTTGTGATCTTAATGTTAAGGGTGGCAAACACCCTCTGCTACCAAACATAATTTTCAGTAGGTTTTTCCCCTTTTTAAATTAAGTTTATTGGCTGTCATCCAAGTCGATATTTTGGGCAGCTCCCGTTAACAATGGTTTTTTAGGGTGGGGAAGGGTTAGGGGGGGAGATGGGCATAAGGGCGGTCTTTAGCAAAGAGAATGGGGGTTTTAGATGTTGGGGTATGTTTGGAAGATCATTGATGTAAATGAGGGAAAAGCAGGGGTCCAAGGACACCTTTCCCCGCCGGGAAATCCCGTATCAAGTGGCCGAATTTATGAGGCTTTTGTTTTAATGTTGGCTTTCTGATACCTATTTGAAAGGAGGATTTAAAATATGCAAATGCTTTGGGCCCTTATACAATTTGTGGTCAAGTTTTGGAGCGGAAAGCAGTGGTTTTTACTGGTAAAAAGCTTTTCCTTTTGGTCAATAAAAATTCCCCAGCAGATATTCCCTTTTTTTCCAAAAGCTGTGTTAGTTTTTAAATTAGTTTAATATGTTTATTTATGCACCCCATACCCTCCTTACCCGAGGTAAAAATAAATTTTGGGCCAGGGACTGGGGTCCAAAATTTTTACGTGAGGCAAGTTACAGAGGTAATGAACTCACAATTTACAATTAATGAACCCAATTTACAAAGGTAATGAACCACAATTTACAAAGGTAACAACCAGGTAAGTCTGGTCACAATCATGAAAATTTACAAAGGTATTTAAAAATTACAGGGTATAAGGGGTCCAGTGTAAAGGAGGTCTGCATTTTTATAATTGAATCATTAGTGTTTTTTATTTTTTCCTGAATAAAAATTGGGCGGGGGTTGGGTATGTTTTATGACGTTAGAAAGAATATAGCTCCTGTGCATGAGTTTCTCAAAGATTTTGGATAGCAATGGTAAGTTTGATATTGGTCTATATTTTTTTATTTTTTGTGGGTCACCACCTTTTGAAGGTGAACCCTTGTGTCTTGAGTAGTGTGGGAAAGTGCTAGTTTCTTGATTTGTTAAAAATAGTGTAATAGCTGCAAAGGACAGGGCCGCTCACTGTACAAAAAGGTGGGACGTGAAAACAGATTCCCTGAATTATTTTATGAGGGCGTGTTCCGTGGGCTCAGATGGTAAAAGATAGAAGGAATTGGGAATTCCCATCCAGGTAGCCCCGGTTGGTCATTGGTACAGGGGTTTTTACTGGGGGATTAGACCATTTTGGAAAGAAGTCGTTTATTTGACTATATCAATGGGATGCAGTGGTGTTTTCATGGGGTTTAGTTTTGCAAAAATTTTTTGTTTTTTTTTTTTTTCCCGTTTGGGGTCCCCAGAATCTGGGGAAAATGTTTTCCGGTCTTTTTTTATCTCCTCTTTGGTCAGTGAACTGCTGGAGTAGACAGTTGTTTGGCTTTCTTTATTAAATTTTTTGGAAAATGTTTAATATTAATTTTGAATATTTTGGTATTTAAGCCCCCTCTATATTGCTTTTCAATTGGGGTTTTTTTATCAATGGATTTTAAATCTGCTGGGTTTCCCTGGGGAACCCCAAACCGTTTTTTTCGTGATTGTTTAGTTTTTTTTTTTTTTTTTAGGACAATGTTTTTGTTATCCCAATATTTTTTTTAGAAAAATGTCTGTCCAATCGTCAATACCCTTGGCTTGTTAGGTAAGACACAATTTTCAACAGAGGTATCTTTATTTTGAAACGTTTCGCCCACACAGTAGGCTTCTTCGTTGAGTGCAGAAAAGTTGATAGATCGAAAACTTGAAGATGATAAAATCAGTCCATCACCCTTAAAGTTTTGAGGGGTCAGTCCCTCAGTTGGAGAAGATATTGCCCCCTATCTAAACAATTTTGTTCCATATTAAAAAATATTGTTTCAGACTAGGGAAACAATACTTTTCTCCAGACTGAGGGACTGCCCACCTCAAAACTTTAAGGGGGTGAGGGAAATGATTACATCGTTTTCAAGTACTTCTGCTTCTACAACTTTTCTGTCTCGACTGGGGAACCAATGGTGGGCGAAACGTTTCGAAATAAAAAATCCAACTTTGCATATGTGTTTACCTAACAACCTGTCGGTATTTTATACCTTTTTAATGTTCACCTTTGGGAAATTGGGAGAATTCTGTGGCCCATCAACACCCTTGGGTCTCTGTAAAATTTCCTTAAATTGAGGCCTCGTATGGAGTCAAAAATGAAACTTTGTTGTTTCGAGTGGTGGCTTACTTATGTTTGGTAAGAGGACCTAAAACCCAGCAAAGTGCACGGGTTCTAAAACTAAAGCAAAGTTTTCGGGAAAATTTTTGCTTTTCTGAATGTTCTTTTATGTAAAAACAGTAAATAAAACACAGATAATTATTATTTATCAGCTAGACAATGGGAATTTGGGGGAAAAACCAGGCGCAAAAAATTCCCCCTTCGAAACCTACCACTGTCTTTCCAAAAGTGCTCTGGCCCTATTAATTAAAAATTTAATATACATACCCGGGAATCTGTAAAAATAAATTTGTGGATAAAATATTAAAAAAAAAAAAGGGGATTATATATACACAAATTTACTAACAAAAAAATTAAACCGTTTGGAAAACACGAGGAAATTAAATCTTCACAAGTATAAAACAAATTCTGGCCACAAAATAGGCGAAAAACAAAACCCAAAGCAAAAAACCTGGGGGGTGACATGTCGGAGGGTCTCACCTTCAAGGCCATAACATTTTTAAAACAATCGCATCTGCTAGAAAAAAGACAGGATGGGTAATAAACCTTAAAACTAGGGAGGGGCCCAAACCCATGATGACACTCTTCAGGTCACTTGTTCTTTTTAGGCTGGAATATTGCGCACACTAACAGCACCTTTTTAAAGGGAGGGAAATTGCTGACCTAGAAAAATTACAGAAAACCTTCACGGCGGCATAACGGAGTAAAACACCTCAATTATGGGATGCTTGAGGTTCTAAACCCGTATTTCCCCGTAAGCAGGGGGGGAGAGATACATGATTAATACACCTGGAAAAACCCAAGGGGCTAGTCCCAATTGCACCAAAATCACTCACTAGAAAGCAAAAAACTTTTCAGACGATCAACTCCCCCCAATGAAAAGCCGGGGGGTCCTAGCACGTTAAAAAGACCATACAATAATGTCGGGGGGCCCCAGACTGTTCAACTGCCTCCAACATACATAAGGGGGGTTGCCAACAGACCCCTGGCAGTCTTTAAGCGGCACTGGGCAAAAACCAAAGTCGGTTCCTGACCCCCGGCTGTGGCTTTTTACGTTGGTTTGCAGCAGCCAGAGCAACAGCCGGGTTATCAGGCCTGTCCCCCCAGGAGGCCTGGTCACAGACCGGGCCG